CACCACGGGTATCGAAACCCGGATTCTAACGTTGTAAGTGGGAGCAATATTAATAGTAAAAAAAAAAGGTTTGGGTTTTGTGTACCACGTCAATTCACAGTTTTACTCATTCAAATATTTTAATTTATTATTTATTAGCAGCTTTGGAATAAAATGATGATAATATAATAATTAACCGCTGTTAAAAATCAAATAAATAAATAATAATGTGTTATTAATAGTTATCCTAAAATTCGACTTGTAAATAACTTGAACTGATAATTACTATAATTCAAATAATGTCAAAAGACTAATAAGGCAAGATTTTTCTCTACTGAAACCATGTTGACTAGCCCACAAGGCCCGGCATGGCCAGGTGGTTAGTGGGGGGTGTTATAATGTGACGGTCAATAGCACTATTCGTTGATAAAAGAGTAGCCCAAGAGTTGGCGGTGGGTGGTGATGACTAGCTGCCTTCCCTCTAGTCTTACACTGCTAAATTAGTGACTGCTAGCGCAGATAGGCCTCGTGTAGCTTTGCGCAAAATCCATAACAAATAAACTATCCAACAAAATTTTAAACTTTGTTAAATGACTTTGCAAAGGATTACTTATCAGGCTTTCAAAAACTATCACCACCGCTGATCTAAGACTTATGGGCCAATAATTACTGGGACAAATTTTATCATCTTCCTTGGAAAGAGGAGTACCATTAGCCAACTTCCAATCTTTTGGCACCTGCCCACTTTTCAAGGACTTAGAAAAAAGGTTGGCAAATGGCTCACATATCCAATCTTTCAAAACCCTTGAGTAAATATTATCTGGCCGAGAAGCTTCATCGTTTTTTAAACTGTCTAATATTTTATTAACAAGCTCAGAATTAATGTGATCATCACGTTTCTATCCAGCAACGTATCAGGAGAAGGAATATTATAAGAAACTGAAAGAAAAAAAAACCTGAATTTATTAAATCAGACGTTATAAGAGATTTCCTACGTTGGAAGAAGAGCGTAAATATTTTTAGTACTTCTGTAAAGCCTTCTGCGGACTTACAACGCTAGAAACCGGGTGGTGGGCAGAGCACAAATAGCCCATTGTGTAGCTTTGTGTTTAACTACAAACGATCTTATTGTAAAAAGTGTCCACAACATCGTATTTTCAATTGTAGAGAAATTGGAGATTTTTCTTTGTACATTTGTATGTATGTGTGTGTGTGTATATTTTTTATTATAAATAAATACGCTTCAAAAGAAGCCATTCTTATATTGTAAAGAAGACCACAACTGAACCAAGAGAAATTCTTCTGCCTTTCGGTCGTTCAGGAAAAATAAGAAAGTAATTCTTGAGTGGAAAATTTGTTATTTTTATAAATGTTAAAACAAACAGTTTTCGTTGTTCTGTCAATTATTAATTACACCCATAGGCGGTGGAGCATATTTGATTTTTTTTTTTGGGGGGGGGAGGTATCCACAAATTGGAGCACTTTATTTTCGTTAATTATTACCACGAAATTCAAAATTGAAACATTCGTTTCCATAATTATTATACATAAGTTTCTAATCCCCAGGTATTCTAATCCCTATTTAAAGATACTTTCACTACAAGGTCAAATTTAAGGAGGGGTGGGGTTTCCCTCCCAGCTCCGCCGCGTGTGCTTTTATCTGTTAATAGAGAGTACATGCTGGTACGAAGTTAGATGCTTACAGGCCAGTTGGTTCTCTGGAAAACCTCGTTGCTTGAGTAATTTCAACAAAAGTTTAATTTATATTAACGACAATGTATACGTTTCAACTGACGACCTACCAACCGAGTCGGTGATAGCAGCGAAGCGCACATAATCATGACTATACGTGAAATGGAACGGCATGATCGATCTCATGAGAACATTTGATGATTGTATAACTTTGTCTTGGTTGTGTTATTTCAGCGTGTATATTCGATCAGTTCTTTTTGAAATCTCTTTGTTCTTTGAACGTATTACCAGACGATGATTATGGAATAACCATAAACCCCTATATCTAGTCTACTGATTCAGATGTTATATGTGCACTACCGAAAGTATCGATAATGGACATATGTATCACTCAAGCATTACTTATATCATGAATACGGCACATGGTAACGACAGTATGACCTACATCAGGCACGTGTATGCAATGTTAAAATAACGTGATTGTGACGTCATTTACAGGAGGCTTTTGGTAATACGCCGTTTAAGTTAATTATACTAAATTTGAATATATTCAGAGAAAATAAATATAAAATATGCTAACTCTTTATTTTTCTTGTTTTCAAAGTTTGTAATTGTTATATTTTGTAGTCTCAAGATTAATAATAATAACGCCATCGGTGTTCGTCGGAAGCGGAAGAGCGGGATTCAGGTTTACTGATAACTGCCAGAAAGAAATCACATCCTTAAAATTCAGGTTTCGAAAATATTATGCAGAGAAAATATTTCAAATAGCAAAGGAAGTACAAGTTTATAAATTCATAAATTATTATTATTATCCTTACGACAATGTATCAGGACAGAGTGCTTGTGCGGTATCTCACAATTCTTAGATTACTTACATTAGAGATAATTAAAAACAACAACATATACGAAGGTGATGAAACTAACTCATACTAACTTGTATAAATCTCTGTCTCATCCCTTGAAATTAGCTTACTACACTTCGGGGAGGGGGCAGACATAGTTACAGGGTCAAGATGGTACAAGCTTTCATTAAATAATGTTATGCGAGTGACTTTACACACGAAAGAGGATTACTATACCTTTACGACCTTCGTACATCTTATTTATAAGGAAGTTATAACTGAATTCAGAACCTACAAGAAAATTTAGAAAAACAATCACAATAGAAGTATATTCTACGATACATATGAAATGGAAAAATAGGTTGGTATATCATCGCAAGGGTAGGGTTTTTTAAGTAAGCCATTCTGTGGTGTTTGTTTTTCTCTTCTGTGCCATATTTTGAGAATTGGTGATTATTAGGCTTACCAGACACGATACTAAGACCTTTTTTTTTTCATGCTGAAAACATTACTTTTGGAATCACTTCATTGGCGTTAAGAGCTGCTACTTCATAACATATGGTAAAGTGTAAAGTTATCAAACTTATATGGTAAAGTGTAAAGTTATCAAACTTATATGGTAAAGTGTAAAGTTATCAAACTTATATGGTAAAGTGTAGAGTTACCAACCCTATATGGTAAAGTGTAGAGTTACCAAACCTATATGGTAAAGTGTAGAGTTACCAAACCTATATGGTAAAGTGTAGAGTTACCATACTTATATAGTAAAGTGTAGAGTTACCAAACTTATATGGTAAAGTGTAAAGTTATCAAACTTATATGGTAAAGTGTAAAGTTACCAAACTTATATGGTAAAGTGTAGAGTTACCAAACTTATACGGTAAAGTGTAGAGTTACCAAACTTATATGGTAAAGTGTAGAGTTACCAAACTTATATGGTAAAGTGTAAAGTTACCAAACTTATATGGTAAAGTGTAAAGTTACCAAACTTGTATGGTAAAGTGTAGGGTAACCAAACTTATATGGTAAAGTGTAGGGTAACCAAACTTATATGGTAAAGTGTAGAGTTACCAAACTTATATGGTAAAGTGTAGAGTTACCAAACTTATATGGTAAAGTGTAGGTTATTAAACTTATATGGTAAAGTACCATTGTCATAAGTGACTCAAAAATAACACATATGGCTTGAATTTAAAAAGAAACCTCATGAAAATACAATAATACCCTCTCTTCTATTCATTAGCGTCATGTCGTTTGATACCAGAACTGTAAGTGTGCTTTTCGGGTGTATAGTCGGGTCTTTATGTTGACAAGTTTCAGGAATATGTGCAGAAGTGAAACGAAACGTCGTCGCACTCATCAACCATGCCACTGAATCCGTAAAGCTTCAGCATGAATAGGAATCTAGACCGTTTCGTACTTGTCTTGCTACTTTATATATATATATATATGCATGAAGAAAATCGTAGTTTGAAAAAGGAAGTATGAGAACGTTATCGTAACGTTTTGAAGTCGCTGTACACAGGTGTGGCCTATTGTATGTCGTGCTCGGTCTGTGAATCCGATTGTTTTACGGTTTGTGGCCCTTGTTGCAAAAGCGCGCTCTACAATATAGGGCTGTAAATATGCTCTACGTTTGTTTGTTTTAGATCAAAGCCACATTGGGCTATCTATCGTGCCTACCGCGGTGAATCGAACTCCGAACTTTAGCGTTGTAAAGGCTGTAAACTTACCCCTGTCTCGCCAGGGGGACATGCTCTAAGAGTTATGGTCAAATCTCACTATTTGGTCAGGCAACAGTTGATAAAACATACATGTATGTATGTGTATGTTTAAGCTTTACATTAACCTTAATTGATATACGCATTAATTAGACACATCAATTTTTTTCTCGATATTAAATGCCCCCAGGTATTCCATTGTGTAACTTTGTAACAAACAAAGATATTAAAGAAACCAATTGTTTAGTTAGTGTGGCGTTTTTTTACTTGGGTAAAATCTTGGTTTTGACGTTGCTTTTTGCTTGGCATGGCCAGGTGGTTAGGAGCTCTCGACTCGCAATCTGAGGGTCGCGAGTTCGAAACATGCTCGCTCTTTCAGCCGTGGGGGCGTTATAATGTGACGGTCAGTGCGACTATTCGTTGGTAAAAGAGTAGGCTAAGAGTTGTCGGTGGGTGGTGATGACTAGCTGCCTGTCCTCTAGTCTTACACTGGTAAATTAGGGACGGCTAGCCAGATAGCCCTCGTGTAGCTTTTCGCAAAATTGCAAACAAAACAAACATAATAATAATAAAAAAATACTAGTATACGTTCTTTTATTCCAAGCACTACATATTTTCAGTACTCCCTTAATTAAAGAATGCTTATTTCACCATTTTTGTTATGCTAAGACACTATACATAATTGTAAATTATTTTCTGTGTATTTCCGTCAAACTTCTTACATGTAACATATTTTATATTATTATTTACATTTATTTCTCGTACCCAGAGAGGGCGTGCTGTATAAGTATTGCTGTCGAAGTTGACGAAACGGTAGATTTTTTTGTATGCTATTTCTCTCAATTTATTCATGATGTTGTAATGATTTTAGGTTAGCCTATACATTTTACATAATCTGGGCCTGATTCCAGAGTTCACCGTCTTTAGCCTAGTGAGCGAATGGAAATGAACTAATACTAATAGTTTGTTACTTACACCAAACGTTGATTCGATCAATGTATTGGCGCACATCATCGCCCCCTAGACTAAAAGGCGTAAAAATTGAACTAAAGTTTTTACTTTTCAGTGTTTTGGTCATTTCAAAACAAAACATAAACGTGTAACGGCACTCTTTGCCTTTTCTGGCTTTAGAGACTATTTGTCTAAAAGGACGCACTCCCTTTTCTGTAAAGAAATAGTAAAAATGGTTAGAACTATTTTTTTTTTACTATAGTCACTAGCCAGAGATGTAACCTGGATTTTAGAATCGTTCCAACTTCATTACTCCTTACGTTATATAAGAATAATACAGTATTGATATTTTATTTCTACGGAAAACAGCACAAACTAGCGACAAAACTTAATTCATTGTATTTTTTTTTTGTTTAGCAATTTCAATTGTTATGCCTACGTTTTGATATAGTACAAACTTTCAGAATATTGATTAGAACTTCGAGCATGCAGTGTTAGTACTCCAAATGTAAAATCAGGCTCTGGATATGTTTTAGAATTAGCAGGGATCTACCCAGCAATTTTTGATAAAACGCAGCTAGGTAAGACTACGAAGTGGTTTTGATGATAGTACCAAGTTTGCCACTAGGTGACATGAACATACTACAGAGGAATTAACTTTTAGTAGTTTTAATTTAACTGATATCTGAATGATTTAATCATCAGAAAATGTGTTACTGTTATACCATTTAAACTGAAAATGGTAACATATTATAATACAAAGAGACTTTTATGTATTATCATCCAAATGTACTCAAAACTGTTATATATAAATATTTTACACCATTTCTAGCTAAATTGTGTTCATAATTACACAGCTACAAATTTGAGTAATATTGCTGTGTGACCCCTCTCTCTCTTAGTTAGTGGTATAATTTTTTTTTAAGTGCTAAGGCTTTCTTACAATAGTCTAGTCACAACACAATGTACAGTAAGGTGGATATATATATACAGAGCTCAACTTCTGAGGGAGGATAGTGTTCGAGTCTGAATTTTGAGTTATTATGATGATACTTGTAAAGTATAAAGATAAGTGACATCTGAGAACAAATTCATAGGACAATAACTAACCCAACAACCCAACATTTTACATAATCACGAGACTGTAACTCAACATTAAGAGCCAGTGTTTTTTTTACATACCTATCATTTTAAAGTTGTCCAATAACACTATGATAAGTTTTAGGACTAAAAAAAAAAGAAGAAATTATTTATAACTCATAAATGGAAATAAGCTAACTGCAAATAACTAAGAAGTAACCTATAAATTAATGAAACCAATTCTACAAAACAAATTCACAAAACCCATATAATGCTATAATCAAATCACCAGAAAAGTAAAACCTGTAATACAAGTTAGGACTAACCTTACAAGTTAGGACTAATCCAACATATCTGATTGTAACTTCCACAGATTACAAGCTTTTTTTTTTTCTAGAAGTTGGATTTTCCTCAGCTAGTTTGAATAATTTATGACCTGAACCTCACCACTGTTGTATTTTTTAGATTATTTTGAAATGTATATCTTTGCTGCCGTAGTTATTCACATCAGAAGTAATACCCCCTAGAATTTCTGTGAGATGTTTTCAGCAGGTCGATACTGTTATCTCACAATATACACACTAACTGAAAACAGAATTCCAAAAAACATGTTTACTCAAATTCTTCTACGTCATAATGATTTGTATACATAACAATCACACGGTAGAGTATTACAGATGGTATTTTTAGTAAAATCTAAAGAGAATGTTGTTTTTCAAGTATAAAGAAATAATCAGATTGGAACTATCGTTCCAGTTTATTAAACATGTATTGTGGGTGTTTCTTTAAGACAAATATATGTTTTTAACAAGCGTATCTTATGCATGCTTGAGAAGCATATTATATGTTTTTAACAGGTGTATCGTATCGTGTTTGTTTTCTTCATGTGTTGGTAAACCTAATATCTGTGAAACTTCCAATCACATCTTTCAAGTGAAGAAAATGTATTGATATCTTTATTGATTGGAAATGTTTTAATAATGGCTACAGCAGTTTACTCATTGATTTTAGTATTCTAAAAAGAAAGTCTATTTTTGTCCTTCCTCTTTGTTGAGGTAATCTTTAGATCAATGACAATAAGGCACAACTTAAGATTTAGTTATTTTACAAATATTTAGTATAAAGAAATGGGTATTTCTATGTGCAAGTCTCTAGAAAACTTGTAGATAAGTGAATGTTGAATTAAAATGAGTTTAACCTAATCTGTGGTCGCTTATAGCTGATCCATACAAAGTCTTACCTTCAAAATAGAAAGAATATTACATTTCAGTTTTTGTGCAAAATCTTTACAAACTGAATATATATATATATATATATATATATGTTGTGTGTAATAAAATATTTTTCTTTTGTTCAAAAATGTAATTTATTTTATATTTATTCTATTTCATAGCTGGGGTGTAGTGGGTCAAAGAAGGGGGTATTTTTGATACCCTGCTGTCTAGAAAAATCAACATCTGAAAATGCTTTAGGTATTAATGGTGTCACTACCAACATGGCTGGTTCAAGTGGGTGGCTGGGGATTCCCAAGGCTCTTGGTGTGGTCTCCCCTCAACAACGAGAATCGGGTTTACGTAAGTTATTTAAGAACTGTGTAGACAAATGTTTAGAGTTAACATTTTAGTTTTAAATGAAGTTGTACAATATGTTAAATGTTCAGAACATCAAAGCATAAGGTGAAGCAAATAAAGTTTTGATGTAGTTTAGAATGTGAGGGTTTTACATTTGTTGTAGTTTAGAATGTGAGTAGAGTTTTACATTTGATGTAGTTTAGAATGTGAGAGTTTTACATTTGATGTAGTTTAGAATGTGAGAGTTTTATATTTGATGTAGTTTAGAATGTGAGAGTTTTACATTTGATGTAGTTTAGAATGTGAGTAGAGTTTTACATTTGATGTAATTTAGAATGTGAGTAGAGTTTTACATTTGATGTAGTTTAGAATGTGAGTAGAGTTTTACATTTGATGTAGTTTAGAATGTGAGTAGAGTTTTACATTTGATTTTGCACACTTTTTGTATGATTATGACTTTTTTCATAATTTTCTAATCATTAAGAATTTGTGAAATGTCTTATCTCTCACAGAACTTGCAAGAATCATATAGGTTTTTTATATTTTCACTCCACATGTAATGTTAACATGTTTTTTTTTAAGACAAGTAGCTGGACATAGGGAAGTAAAAGTAGTTTGTAGTTAAGGAGAAGAGAGACTGTTTATTCAAATGTTTTTTATTAATTAATCCAAATTATAAAATTGCAAATACTAGGCTTGATTTAATTCATGCTGTTATAGAGACTAGTCTTAATAAATTAGGCTTAGTAATTTAGAAATTTGCATTTTCTAGACCTTTTACGTTAATAGCAATTGTCACACAACTGTAAACCAAAAATAGTAATTTCAGCGTGTTTGGACTGGAAGTGAGTAGTAGTTTAACCTAATTTTTGCTACTTCTAAAAAGTTTGTCTACGGTTACAGCATTGATCTTTTTCAGTTTCCAAATCGACACACAATTAATCTTCAACAGTACTAGGTTTTTGTTTCAGTTTATAGTTATTTTAAGCTGCTTAAACAATAAAGGCAGCACTTCTGCTCTTACTACTTTTATTTTTAGCACCTTTCTTTGTTAATTTCTATATTACGAAAAAAACAAATCATACTCAAATTTAATTATGAGCAACATTGTACTGGAATAAGCTCTTGAGTTGTCATTACCATGCTGAGATAAGGTGTTGAATTAACTCTTAAGTTCTCAAGATGACAGTACTGTTCTGGGTACCACATGTATTGTTTCTAATATGCTTTTATTTAACTTTCTTTTAATGAAACCATAATGTTCAACAACAAATCAGACACAGTAGTTTTAATCTCTAAAACTTCAGCTGCTGCCATCTATTGACAAAATACTCAATTACATTTTCTGTGTCATTATGTAAAACTTGTTCACTAATTTTGTAAACCACAATGTGAAAATCTAAATTTGTTAGTGTTTAAAAAAAAAAAGAGAGAAACATACCAGTTCAGAAAATGTATTCTTTTATTGTGTGATTGCAACAGAAAGGAATAAAGTTGCTCTGAAACCAGGCCGGTCCTTGATGGACTGGATTCGACTTACCCATTCATCCCAGGATTTAGCAGGTACAAAAGGTCAAATTCAAGATGTCACAGAAGAGGAACTGAGGAAACATAACAAAGCTGATGATGCGTGGATGGTGTTGAAAGGTAATATTTAGACTGGATGTAGCTTATCTATCATCTTAAGGGTAACATCCAAAAACTAGTTTTTCTTTACGTGTTCAGTACAGCTTCAGAAGCTCATCAGAGTAAACATGCTTTTTACGTAGTCATCACATAACCGCCATCGAGTAGTTTGTATGAACTGGACATCAAATAATTACGTTCACCACAACTTTGACTTTCAATCTCTACTTATTAACCGATAAAATGTTATATTGTGTTATTAATACACAGTCCAAATGTTCTAGTCAGCTCTCTTTGTTTCAGATCTTCTAAGTAATAAGAATAGTGTATCCTTTAATATAATTTTATTTGTTCTACACGGTAAATGTATTCGCGGTGTGTGGCTAGACAGAGTCTGTGTATAATGCTGATAAGGTTTTTCTTTACTGTACGAGTGTTTTTACAGATACTTGTATACGTTTTGTGTTTGTCACCCAGGGAAGGTGTTTAATGTCACCCCCTACATGGAGTTCCATCCTGGTGGGGAAGAAGAATTGATGCGTGGAGTGGGAAAAGATGCCACGGATCTTTTCAATTCAGTAATATACGATTTTTACACATATATATAATTAAGTTAAGGTACTTGTATTAGTATTTCTGATATATGATGTGGTAATGCATATTTGTGATGAAGCGTGGAACAGATTGGAAGTACAAAATGTGAGACTAAAGAAATGTAGCTTGAATTTTACAAGCTGCTAGTTGGAGATTATAAGATTACACGTAGTTTAAAGTTGTTATGAAACAGCCCGAAACAGATAAATCCTTGTTAAACCAGTTGTTGAATTAATGTTAAGCTGTCACTGAGACGGAGAATGGTGGAAGAGGCAGAAACTTCTCAGTAGGTTTATTCTCGAGGCGTGCTCGAGATGAGAAGTCATTTCTCACTTCCTGTTCAAACTGTTGTTTATTATTTGTATAAATAAGCAGGAAGAAATGGACCCAATAACTTTAAAATATTTGAAAAATGGTTACTTCTTTATCTGTTTATATTTGTATTAAATTTGTTAGAAAACAGTTAGTTGTTTCTAAAGTTTTCAATCTGTATCATTAGTAAACTTTTTAAAGGCTGTTTGAAATCGGACTGTAGCTAGATTGTTTGATTTTCCATAGAATAATTATCTTTGTCTGCATAACTATTTTTTTTTTTTTTTTATATAAGTTATGGGTTTTTGAGATCTTCTTTTTAATGATACCACCTCCCACGGTAGGGGGAGAGGACTAACTTTTAAATGAATTAAAAAAACTACATTTATATAAAGAAATAAAAAAGGTGGGAAAATTTACAATAAAATCTATTGTATTTTGTCAAAATTTTACTGAATAAAATATAACACCATGACTCATGAAATATATACAAACAAATGTATCTTAGTTCTGTTTGTTTAGATTCACAGATGGGTGAATGCCGAATCCATGTTGCAGAAATGCCTAGTCGGAAAATACAGACCGTTGAGTCCTGTGTCAAGAAGTAGGTGCACCATATCTGAAAATTAAGGACTTATGAAAAAACTTTAATGGTGTATAAATATATATAGAGTCCAAATACAGTAGTAGAGAAATATTCCTAACTCACGTGAACTAGTGGTACTTATTTCTTGCTGATAACCTAACCTAATTCATTCCATTCCCCACACTGGCTCTTGTTCAAGGGGATATACATAAAACATAGGTCTGTCCCTACTTAAATAATTTCACTTTCTTGTTCCAGGCTCCAAAAATGTGTATGAAAATATGTTATTTAGAAACTTGTGTACAACATTGCTGAAAATAACTGGCTTCTTGTAGTTGGAATCTGGAAGTTGTACTTTGTTGCAGGCTTTAACTGGCTTCTTGTAGTTGGAATCTGGAAGTTGTTGCAGGCTTTAACTGGCTTCTTGTAGTTGGAATCTGGAAGTTGTACGTTGTTGCAGGCTTTAACTGGCTTCTTGTAGTTGGAATCTGGAAGTTGTAAGTTGTTGCAGGGTTTAACTGGCTTGTTGTAGTTGGAAACTGGAAGTTGTACGTTGTTGCAGGCTTTAACTGGCTTCTTGTAGTTGGAATCTGGAAGTTGTAAGTTGTTGCAGGCTTTAACTGGCTTCTTGTAGTTGGAATCTGGAAGTTGTAA